AACTGTCGACTCCTGCTGAGATGGGCTCTGGTATCATGGACACACTTCAGCGTCTTGCCATTCCTGGGATCGAGAAGCTCTCTATGCAGGCGAACAAGCTTATGCCTTTAGATGACGTAACCGGGAAAACCATGCAAGAACTCGTCTGGGAAACTTCACCCGCCATCAATGGTGCTGAAAGGTGGTGTTATAAATCTTTTTCTCTCTTTTTTCTTTTGAACTGCTCACGTGACAATTTCACGTAAGATGGCTTGTTTTGACATCATGGGTTTGTTTGGTTCTATGTTTCCGATGCAGGGATCATATTTTGGAAACTGAATCTGCTGCATCTGGTTATGAGAGGAGACCTGAAGGACGTTCATCATCTGGAGCAAGGGCTAGAAAATTTAGTTCAGTCTCTGGCAAGAGTGATGTTGATTCCGAATATGTATCACTCGAAGATCTTGCTCCATTGGCTATGGATCAGATCGAAGAACTTGCTTTGGAAGGATTGAGAATTCAATCAGGCATGTCAGATGAGGATGCACCCTCGAACATCACTGCACAGTCCATCGGAGAAATCTCGGCCTTCCATGGGAAGAAAAGTGGATCCCTTGGTTTCGAAGGAGCTGTCGGGTTACAGCTTCTCAACGTAAAGGATCACGAGAATGAAGATGCTGATGGATTGATGAGTCTTTCGCTTACTCTTGATGAGTGGATGAAGCTGGATTCAGGCGAGATAGGTGATGAAGATGAGATCAGCGAACGAACTTCCAAGATTTTAGCTGCCCACCATGCGAATCCCTTAGAATTTGTCCGGAAAGGGTCAAAGGGTGAAAGGAGGAAGGGAAAAGGTGGAAGAAAATGCGGGTTGCTCGGGAATAACTTCACGGTAGCTCTAATGGTGCAACTCCGGGATCCTCTAAGGAACTATGAGCCAGTTGGAGCACCAATGCTTTCACTCATCCAAGTCGAGAGAGTGTTCGTCCCTCCAAAGCCGAGAATCTACAGCACGGTATCGGAGCTTAGGAAAGATAACGATGAAGAGGAAGAGGAAGAGGAAGGACGGGAAGTGAAAGATGAAACCCGAGAAGAGAAAGTCGTAGTTCCTCAGTACAAAATCTCGGAGGTTCATCTCGCGGGTACAAAATCCGAGCCCGGGAAGAAACTATGGGGAAACACAAATCAGCAACAGGCAGGTTCGAGGTGGTTGGTAGCTAATGGCATGGGCAAAGTGAACAAGAACCCTTTCTTGAAATCAAAACCGAACTCTGCAAAACCTTCGGGCGGGGAAACGTTATGGAGCGTTTCGTCCCGCGGGTCGGGAGCTAAGTGGAAAGACTCGGGTAAGGTTAAGCCTCACGTTCGGAATCCAAACTTTATAATGCCAAAGTGAAACGATGGGAGAAGGTAATAGGAAACTATGGTTTGATCAGTTCTTTGTTGCTGGGTTTTCTTTCTCTCTATGTTGGATTTCTTAAGTGGCAGAGTTGTAAATTGGAATTGCTGTGTTTGTGTTGGTGAAAATTTTAGCGTTCACGGCATCCATGTTCAGTGCGTTGTAAGTTGGGGTGGTTATTTCATTATACAAAATCAAATTGAATTATAAAGTATAAATAATATAACAAGTGAATGAATATTTCTTTTTTTATAAATCGAAAACAGGATTTCAATTGAATCCGGGTCTAAAATGAATTTCAAAATAATAAAAAAATTAACATTTATATAGAAAATAGATTTTATTAATAAAAAATGATTTTGAAATATCCAACCCACGGATACAGTACAGATTAATCACAGTCCGCCGAGTCGGACTTTCAAATTTCAAACCCATATTTCGTTGATGTACGAATATCCCATTTTTTGGATATCCAATTCACAAAATCAGATTCAACGATATAAAAAAAAAAAAAGCGAATTCCCATGTCCATCCCTAATACATCTCATAGTCCTCTAAAATTTGGTCCGGTATTGCCTGGTTGGATTCGGTTAAATTTGGTTTTCAGTTTAGATCAAGGTGAATTGAGTCGATCGCAAACCGGTCTAAGGGTTTGAATTTTTCAATCTCATTTAACTCGGAACCGAACCAGAAAGGTCAAGAGATCATTGCTTCATGACTGACTGCTTTTACGAACCGAACCTATAAGATCTTCTCTCAAGAACACTTGCCAAAAACTCATCAAAATCCGAGACATTACACTTGCAAGACAGGTGAAGAAGATCAAAGTCTAGGCATAATTGCAGTAAAGAGGATCATATATCATTTTCAGGATGAAACGATTTGTCGAACCTTGCGGATGCGCTAAAATCTCGAAAATGTATCGGAACACCAACAACGGAAGAAAACGAGACATATATCGAATCTAAAATATCAAAATGTAGCAAGAGATTAATACCCTTTTTCAAGGAGACGAAGATTTCTTCTTCTTCAACTTCTTGATCGTCTTCACTCCCTTCCGCACTTTCTTCACGGCCTTCGCTTTCTGCTTCGCCTTTCTACTCGGAGACGGCACCTCTCTGATAGGACCGGGAGGGATCCCTTTCTTCAGGGCACTTCCCCTCGGTGTTGCAGCTGGTGGCAATCTCAAACTCTGTGGAGGCAAAGGGCTGTGAGGTTTCCACACTAGGTTATTTTTCATCGAAAATCTCACTCTCTTCGTGCTTTTCTCCCCGCTCTTGGCCTCCGAGATCGTTTCCATGTCTCCATTCCCGTTGATTTCTTCCAGATTATTCCTATCTTCCCCTTTGGCTTTCCTTTTCCTCTTCTTTGACACTTTGGACTTGACCATTTGTTCTGTTTCGACGCAGGCACTTGCAACTTCGTCTTTTGATCCCAGCTCGGCTGCAACTTTCTCAAACTGCATCTGGAGATTCGATATCAAAGTCTCATTGAAAGTTTCGTCTTTCCCATCCGAGTTTGTGATTTCAGGAACATCTACAACAGCTTCCTTCTTGCTCTTCTTATCACTACCCTTCTTGCCACTGTCTCCAGCCGATTTCTTCTTAGCCTTTGTACATTTCTTCAGGCCCTTTTTCTTGGATGACCCATTCGCAACCAGCTCCTTCGACTCGAGTTCAGCACCACAATCATCCATTACTACTTCGTTAGACATGGGAACCAAATCAGGCACTTCTTCATCAGGAGCAGAAGCTTCAGGGATAGAAATTTCAACACCAGAAGAAGACACATCCTTCTCCAGTTTCGAGAACTGCTCGTGAAGAGAAAATATCAGTTTCCTATTCCCCTGGCGGCAATCAGGGGAAGAACCCATCTCATAAAACTTCCTGGAATACTCCATAGACAGAGCAATTGATCCCAAGGCCAATGCATCGTCATTAGAATCTACATCAATCCCAGACATTTTAGCATCCAGCAACTCCTTCCCCATCTTCAGCAACTCATCAAACACATTACTCTTGATCTTCCCGACCAAAACCTTGTCACCTACTATGCCCAAAACGGTCACAAAAGGACCAAACAGAAGTTCTACAACCTTCTTCCTGAGAGGAAGAAAGGGCCTAACTTCCTCAACGAAAATAGAAGCAAAGTGATAGTTAACACCATTGGCCTGGAACTTATCATCCGCGAGGAATGTACCGTCGAACAAAACGCCCATCAAACGGCGAGTGAAATCCAGATCCCAGGAATTATCCTTAAGAAGAACGAAGAATCCATGCAGGAACCTACGGATCAAGAGATAAAACTTGTCTAACCTGAGTCGATCGATGCGAGACCACTCGCGACGCATGGTGAACAAGAACACAGTGAAGTAATGGACTGAGATGTGAAGAGGGAGAGATTGTACGGCGCCGGAGAGGCGGTCGATGAGTTCAGACTGGTAAGGGACCTTGTCGGCATGCCACATACAGTAGAAGATGCCCTGCCAAAGCTTCTTCATGTCGTCGTCGGAGACTTCGGTTTGAGTGGGAAGCCATGTCTGCAGAACAGTTCGTAAAGATCTGTCGCGGACGGATTTGTCGCATGCAGCGAGATTCTTTATCACTGATTTACCGTCTACTTCGAAAAGTGGATCCCTTGGTTTCGAAGGAGCTGTCGGGTTACAGCTTCTCAACGTAAAGGATCACGAGAATGAAGATGCTGATGGATTGATGAGTCTTTCGCTTACTCTTGATGAGTGGATGAAGCTGGATTCAGGCGAGATAGGTGATGAAGATGAGATCAGCGAACGAACTTCCAAGATTTTAGCTGCCCACCATGCGAATCCCTTAGAATTTGTCCGGAAAGGGTCAAAGGGTGAAAGGAGGAAGGGAAAAGGTGGAAGAAAATGCGGGTTGCTCGGGAATAACTTCACGGTAGCTCTAATGGTGCAACTCCGGGATCCTCTAAGGAACTATGAGCCAGTTGGAGCACCAATGCTTTCACTCATCCAAGTCGAGAGAGTGTTCGTCCCTCCAAAGCCGAGAATCTACAGCACGGTATCGGAGCTTAGGAAAGATAACGATGAAGAGGAAGAGGAAGAGGAAGGACGGGAAGTGAAAGATGAAACCCGAGAAGAGAAAGTCGTAGTTCCTCAGTACAAAATCTCGGAGGTTCATCTCGCGGGTACAAAATCCGAGCCCGGGAAGAAACTATGGGGAAACACAAATCAGCAACAGGCAGGTTCGAGGTGGTTGGTAGCTAATGGCATGGGCAAAGTGAACAAGAACCCTTTCTTGAAATCAAAACCGAACTCTGCAAAACCTTCGGGCGGGGAAACGTTATGGAGCGTTTCGTCCCGCGGGTCGGGAGCTAAGTGGAAAGACTCGGGTAAGGTTAAGCCTCACGTTCGGAATCCAAACTTTATAATGCCAAAGTGAAACGATGGGAGAAGGTAATAGGAAACTATGGTTTGATCAGTTCTTTGTTGCTGGGTTTTCTTTCTCTCTATGTTGGATTTCTTAAGTGGCAGAGTTGTAAATTGGAATTGCTGTGTTTGTGTTGGTGAAAATTTTAGCGTTCACGGCATCCATGTTCAGTGCGTTGTAAGTTGGGGTGGTTATTTCATTATACAAAATCAAATTGAATTATAAAGTATAAATAATATAACAAGTGAATGAATATTTCTTTTTTTATAAATCGAAAACAGGATTTCAATTGAATCCGGGTCTAAAATGAATTTCAAAATAATAAAAAAATTAACATTTATATAGAAAATAGATTTTATTAATAAAAAATGATTTTGAAATATCCAACCCACGGATACAGTACAGATTAATCACAGTCCGCCGAGTCGGACTTTCAAATTTCAAACCCATATTTCGTTGATGTACGAATATCCCATTTTTTGGATATCCAATTCACAAAATCAGATTCAACGATATAAAAAAAAAAAAAGCGAATTCCCATGTCCATCCCTAATACATCTCATAGTCCTCTAAAATTTGGTCCGGTATTGCCTGGTTGGATTCGGTTAAATTTGGTTTTCAGTTTAGATCAAGGTGAATTGAGTCGATCGCAAACCGGTCTAAGGGTTTGAATTTTTCAATCTCATTTAACTCGGAACCGAACCAGAAAGGTCAAGAGATCATTGCTTCATGACTGACTGCTTTTACGAACCGAACCTATAAGATCTTCTCTCAAGAACACTTGCCAAAAACTCATCAAAATCCGAGACATTACACTTGCAAGACAGGTGAAGAAGATCAAAGTCTAGGCATAATTGCAGTAAAGAGGATCATATATCATTTTCAGGATGAAACGATTTGTCGAACCTTGCGGATGCGCTAAAATCTCGAAAATGTATCGGAACACCAACAACGGAAGAAAACGAGACATATATCGAATCTAAAATATCAAAATGTAGCAAGAGATTAATACCCTTTTTCAAGGAGACGAAGATTTCTTCTTCTTCAACTTCTTGATCGTCTTCACTCCCTTCCGCACTTTCTTCACGGCCTTCGCTTTCTGCTTCGCCTTTCTACTCGGAGACGGCACCTCTCTGATAGGACCGGGAGGGATCCCTTTCTTCAGGGCACTTCCCCTCGGTGTTGCAGCTGGTGGCAATCTCAAACTCTGTGGAGGCAAAGGGCTGTGAGGTTTCCACACTAGGTTATTTTTCATCGAAAATCTCACTCTCTTCGTGCTTTTCTCCCCGCTCTTGGCCTCCGAGATCGTTTCCATGTCTCCATTCCCGTTGATTTCTTCCAGATTATTCCTATCTTCCCCTTTGGCTTTCCTTTTCCTCTTCTTTGACACTTTGGACTTGACCATTTGTTCTGTTTCGACGCAGGCACTTGCAACTTCGTCTTTTGATCCCAGCTCGGCTGCAACTTTCTCAAACTGCATCTGGAGATTCGATATCAAAGTCTCATTGAAAGTTTCGTCTTTCCCATCCGAGTTTGTGATTTCAGGAACATCTACAACAGCTTCCTTCTTGCTCTTCTTATCACTACCCTTCTTGCCACTGTCTCCAGCCGATTTCTTCTTAGCCTTTGTACATTTCTTCAGGCCCTTTTTCTTGGATGACCCATTCGCAACCAGCTCCTTCGACTCGAGTTCAGCACCACAATCATCCATTACTACTTCGTTAGACATGGGAACCAAATCAGGCACTTCTTCATCAGGAGCAGAAGCTTCAGGGATAGAAATTTCAACACCAGAAGAAGACACATCCTTCTCCAGTTTCGAGAACTGCTCGTGAAGAGAAAATATCAGTTTCCTATTCCCCTGGCGGCAATCAGGGGAAGAACCCATCTCATAAAACTTCCTGGAATACTCCATAGACAGAGCAATTGATCCCAAGGCCAATGCATCGTCATTAGAATCTACATCAATCCCAGACATTTTAGCATCCAGCAACTCCTTCCCCATCTTCAGCAACTCATCAAACACATTACTCTTGATCTTCCCGACCAAAACCTTGTCACCTACTATGCCCAAAACGGTCACAAAAGGACCAAACAGAAGTTCTACAACCTTCTTCCTGAGAGGAAGAAAGGGCCTAACTTCCTCAACGAAAATAGAAGCAAAGTGATAGTTAACACCATTGGCCTGGAACTTATCATCCGCGAGGAATGTACCGTCGAACAAAACGCCCATCAAACGGCGAGTGAAATCCAGATCCCAGGAATTATCCTTAAGAAGAACGAAGAATCCATGCAGGAACCTACGGATCAAGAGATAAAACTTGTCTAACCTGAGTCGATCGATGCGAGACCACTCGCGACGCATGGTGAACAAGAACACAGTGAAGTAATGGACTGAGATGTGAAGAGGGAGAGATTGTACGGCGCCGGAGAGGCGGTCGATGAGTTCAGACTGGTAAGGGACCTTGTCGGCATGCCACATACAGTAGAAGATGCCCTGCCAAAGCTTCTTCATGTCGTCGTCGGAGACTTCGGTTTGATTGGGAAGCCATGTCTGCAGAACAGTTCGTAAAGATCTGTCGCGGACGGATTTGTCGCATGCAGCGAGATTCTTTATCACTGATTTACCGTCTACTTCGACTGCCATTGCTGAGAGCTCGGAGAGAGACAGGAAGCGAAAACCCTAAGAAGAAACCCTAAATAAATCTCTGGGAACTTCGAAACGTCTCAGAAGGTTTAAGGCTTGAGGGCATTTCCGTCTTTTTATAAGTAAGAGGAATTCCATTTTTCGTTCTACGCGAAAAATAAAGTCAGTAATTTATTTGTATATCAAATTCATGCGTATTTGATTATCTTAGAGACTTAGATTGATTTCAGAAGAATATATGAAATAGATTTTTAAATATCCGTGAAATAAATATCCGAACAAGCATAATAAAACATAAAACAACAAATTTGTGTTTTCAGTTTAATTCCAACATGGATCTTTATATATGTAACAAAACTTTTATATACCCTTCAAATTGAATTTTGAAATAATTCCATTGTTCCTTCTTTAACTAAGTTGTCAAAATAGGTGCATTCCATTTTTTTTCTAATTTATCTATAATTTTGGAGTTAAATCTTTGCGTTTTTTGCCACATAGAATGAAATATTGAAAATTTGGATCAATTCAAATATATCAAACATCTCCTCGAAATAACATTAAAAAAACATATGGATCTTTTTGAATAACTGTAAAAATCACTTATAGGATTCATAATATTGAAAGATCTTGAGAAAATCATCAAATATCTTTTATATTGATTTGGGAGGAATATATGAAATGATTCCATTTAGTCAAAATAGAAGTATATATTCTATTTCTATTTGATTTTTTATTTTCTAATTGTATCTATAATTTTTGGGGGTTAAATTTTTGCATCCTACAGAAAAACACGTTTTGCTAAATGAAATGAAGTATTGGAAATTTCGATCACTTTCTCTCGAAATAACTTCAATATATATATATATATGTGTGTGTATATATATATATATATCAATCTTTCTTAAAAACCAACCCATATGAATTTTCGAATTATAATTAAAATAAATGGGGGTTTTGAGAAAATTATAAATTCAGAAGGGATTTCGCAAGAAGGTTGCGTAGATTTAATGGAGTTCTGTCGTAGCTTCAGATGTTCAAACTCGGCACCTGGAGAAGACGACGAAAGCGTAACCTAATAATAATTTTATTTTAATTTTAATTTTATTTGTTCTTCCAAAAAAAAGTAATTTTTATTTGTGGTCCGACATTCGAATCCAAATTGAAAAGTAGGGTTTTCGTCATCTCTAGACCTAAACTCGTTTCGTCTGTAGACAAATATTCAACTCCTAAATCGGTTTTTGATATTCAAAAATCGTATTTATTTCTCTAACTTATATATTACTCTAAAAGGTTACGAACATCTCTTATATGACCTTTTTAAAAAAATTATGGTTACAAAATGAAATAAAAAAACGAAAATACGATATTAAAAAAAAAACTCAAAAAGTATACGTTCCATTATGCTAATTATATATTTTCGCAAATAAAGTCTTATTTAATTACTTTTAATCCTACTTACCATAAAATCGAATAAAACTCCAACAAACTTTAAAATACATCAAAATAAACTAAATAAAGATTAACTTTTTAATTAAAAATTTTGATATTAATGTTAAAATAAATTTATTTTATTTTTGTTTCGATTGTGTTCGACATAAATCCACAAAAGAAAAAAAAACCAAAGCTAATTTGTGAGAGGTTCCGAAGTAAAAAATTTCACCAAAAAAAAATTTAAGAGTAAAAAATTATATATATATATATATATACACACGTGTGTGTGTGTGTGTAATAATAATTGGTGTAGATTTGAGTGAGAATGAGAAAATATTGGAGGTTTCCGACAATAACCGAAGAGAGTGTCAGAGAGGAGATAGCTCACATAATACACTTCGACCCATATGCAGAACTGACCCCAACCTGCTTTAATAATTTTATCACTTCTTTGCAAGTCCACCCCTCAATTTCTTGTATTTTCCATTTTCACCCCTTTATTTCCACTATTGACATAGACGCCCGGCCAATAAGGCGGGCATTGAAATGTTACAAATAAAAAGAAGCAATGGTCTCAAAGAGAAAAAATTTATTTGATACTCTTAGAAGGCTAAGCAGCAAGGAGTAGAACAGGGATTTTTACAGTTGCAGCAACAACAAGAAAGTCTTAGCTTTGGACATCTGAAACAAGAAGAACATCTGCATCTGCATCTGCAACATGATGAGCTCTTCGGACAAGACGGCCATTTCCAACCGCTGCAGCATCCTTTAGGGACGCAACAACATGCCTTCTTCATGTCCGGACAAGAACAACAACAAGAACAAGAACAGCAACCTCGAAAGCTCGGGCAGCAGCAGCTGCTGCAGCTTGGTTTCGGGCAACAGTCCGAGCACGAGGGGCAAGAGCATCTGCAGCAGTTGCAGTGGCAGCAGTTGGGTCGGAAGCAGCAGTCACAGTCGCAGCACTTGGGCCGTCTCAGATGGCACGAGCACTCAGATTGGCAGCAACAGCAGAAGCTCAGCAGGTTCAAGCACGGGATTCCGCTACTGTAATGGAAAAACTCTCGTATGCATCGGTATCGGTATCGGTAGCGGATTTCCTCGTTAAAGAAACAAGAGCATTTCAAGACTAGGATTAGAAATTAAAGATTACCAGAGCCATTTCCAGAACCGGCATGGTCTTCGACTCTTCTTCTGCCTGTTCGAGTGATACACAAACTGATTTCAAGGATGCAGGAGGAAGGATTAGAGACGAAACGATGAAGTTATCGACAGGAATATCCTTACACAGGGATCAAAGGGTCGGAGTTTGCCACCACGAAATCAGAGACCCTGCAACACATATATAACGATAAGATTCCACAAAGCATTTCTTAGACTTTTAAATGTTGAAAAATGTTCCTGGCGAGAGAGACGACGGCTCACTCTTTGCAGTACTTAGAGGCCGGCGGTATGCCCTCGATGAATTTAAGCTCCGCCTGCTCAAATACAACAATGGAACCACGAATTTATCTCATCAGTCCATCCATAACAAGCAAAGGAACTATAAACATTATTGGATAAAGGGTTCTCTTCCACTGTCCATAGGCCAATCACTAGCCCATGTAATTATGCATTTGCTTCACTTTGGAATAGAGCCGATGTAATACCAATAAGTTCAAGCTTAAAACATGTGCACACGTGCAAGTGTAGACCTAAATAAAATGCATAGCAATCAGTGTTATTACCGAGTAAATGATGCTGTAAAAAAGACAGAGGATCAGAAGGTTAAAGTCATGAAAGGAACAAGAGATAAAGCAAGAGATGGTCCATTGATGCAGAAAAACAAAGGTTAAAAATTTTTACATGTTGAAAAGCAAAACTGCAAATGTACCAATACAATATATATATATATATATATATATGTATATATGTATATATATGTATATATGTATATATATGTATATATATATGTGTGAGATCTTTATTGATCAACCCTTTATCTCATCAATGGTCCTCTGTTCTTTCTTTATACTCACTTTGACTAGACACTCACCATCATAGTACATTTGCACAGCTTACACACAAACGTGAAATATAGTAAATGGGCATTGATCAATCATCTCATAAAGAAACAGATGAGGGATCCACTTCCAAAGACTTTAAAGAAATCTAGGAAAATGACAAAAAACAAACAAACCCAAAACTAAAAATCCCAACTTTAGCAAAAATTAGGGGGAAAAAAACTGAACTTTTCAAAGATATGATGTTATGGGACATGGATTTGAGATCAGAAACCAACCAAAACCATGTTTATGAACAACATGGTTAGCATAAACATCCAAGGAAAAACATGACATGACATGACTCAATTAACACATAAATGAACCATCACACTAAGAACCAACACAAGGAGTCCCATCTGTCGGTTTTGAGATCTTGATACTCTCAATCTCAATCACAAGAGATCACTGGATCCATCTACACTTTACGACATGTCTGAATCCAGTTTGGATGTGTTCAAACACTCCCAAACCCATTTGCTCTTTCTGATTCTGAGAATACAGTAATGGGCATAGACCAAGCTATCCAACACAAAAAAAAGAAATCCTTTTTCAGACAAATAAATAATATAATAAATTACTCTTTTTGATGTATTCTAAGAGAATAAATAAATTAGTGTTCATGTTACCATATTTGTTGTGAACATGTAACACAGTGGTTGATAGACCAACCAACCTGGATATAGTAGTGGCTAAAGTTTGACAAAGACAAAGATTTCTCTTTTTCAGAACCCCCCAAAAAAACATTAAATTAAAAATCAATTTACAAGTTTCTTTGATTTAATTGCTAATAAAAGTGATTAAACTGATTAATTAACTTGCTAAACAGCAAATCATAACATCTCTCTTTCTCTTGAGTTCCAACACTACCATTATTTTGCACTGAAATTCAAAATTCAGATTTTTTTCATCTGACTTTTCAAAATGGTAAAAAAATCAAAAGAAAAACAAAAATGGAAGAAACTGAGATTCTCTATTGCTTCACTAAATTTAAAACAAAATGATTATAAAAAAAATCACTTGCCTCGAGAAGGCCAATCTCTCTCTCGAGCATCTGGACCCTCGCTGCCTCTCTGCGTTTCCCGTACAAGTCAGGGTACGCCGGCGGAGACTTTGGCCGTGGAGGCAGTAGGGACGGCGGAGCAACCGCCGTGCCGCCGCCCCGAGGGGGGGGG